AGGACAAGAAGAAGAAGGACAAGAAGAAGAAGGACAAGAAGAAGAAGGACAAGAAGAAGAAGGACAAGAAGAAGAAGAAGAAGAAGAAGAAGGACAAGAAGGAGAAGAAGAAGAAGGACAAGAAGGAGAAGAAGAAGAAGGACAAGAAGGAGAAGGAGAAGGGGAAGAAGAAGGAGAAGGAGAAGGAGAAGGAGATGGAGAAGGAGAAGGAGAAGGAGATGGAGAAGGAGAAGGAGAAGGAGATGGAGAAGGAGAAGGAGAAGGAGAAGGAGAAGGAGAAGGAGATGAAGAAGGATAAGAAGGAAGAAGAAAGTTTGAGAGAAGAGAGAGAAGAGAAGAGAGAAAGAGAGGGACGATAGAAATAGATAGAGAGATAGAGAGAGAGGGAGAGAGAGAGAGAGGGAGAGAGAAAGAGGGAGAGAGAGGGGGAGAGAGAGACAGAGAGAGACAGAGAGAGAGAGAGACAGAGAGACAGAGAGTAATATACGCTGATAAACTTGTTGTAAACCCATGAAATTGACCAGGTAAACGTTTTTCGCCAGAATTGCAACAAAAATCATAAACTCATCATATTCATTCATTCTTTTTTCCCCTGTGATTTACAAGGTTTATGTAACCAAGAGTTTACCATTCATTGTAAGACAATTGTCCTAAAAACTACGAATAGAATAATGCTTTTTTTTTCTTTGTCTTTGTTTTCTTTGACTTTGATTTAAAATTCACCGTCTCCCATAAAAATGACAAACATAGACATGATAACGATATGTCAACACAATATAATCATGAACAGTAATGTTCAGATGAATACATATAAATAGATATCCACACACACATACGGCAAACACACACACAAACACACACACACACACACACACACACACACACAGACATACACACACACACTCTCTCTCTCTCCCTATTTCTCTTCCCCTCTCTCTCTCTCCTAGACTCTCTCTCTCTCTCTCCCTCTCTCTCTCTCTTTCACCCACAGATACATACAAAATTAAGCGTAGAACAAAACCAAAACAAACTAACACATAAAGCCACAAAACCACACACGCAGTGTGTAAATACGTCCCAAAATCAAAACGAGATTGATAAAATCTTCTTTACAGCCCGAAATGGCAAACACAGAATAATATCGCAACTTTTACTGCTGCTTCTCGTGATTATGCCGGACATGCATCCCGGGTACTGACAACAACTGATATTGAAATTTTCACTTTAAAGGCAAGTTTGTTTCCCTAAGAAGCGGTCGAGTTTGTAGGTCCGCCTGGAACTGTCCCGGAGATTAGACGAGAACTTCGCCTCTACTTTTTCAATGGAGCTACAAAATGAACCTGCTGACCTCACATGGTGTGGCGAGTTGAGAATGTCAACAACAAATGCGTGTGACTAAAGTTCCAACTCTTGCGAAGACAGACCTAAAGAAAAACCAAAACAAAATAAAACAAAACGAAACAAAACCAACTTCTATGACATTCCCTCTCAAGCGACTGCCATGAGTAGGCCTAAGGTATTCGGCAGTCTTGCTTCTGATTTCGCTCTCCATTCCAAGAGAGGCTATACGTTCCAGAAATCAAACTAGCAATTCTAGGCTATCCTCGTGTTGAGTTCTTTTTGACCAGGAATGGGAGCCTCAAGTAGTTGTGACACGGCGCCAAGGTGTTACAAAGCCACCGACATGTTTGCTGGCTGTTGGAAGGCTTTTCTCGCCTTTTTCCACTGGATCTTTATGGACGTTTCAACTCACGTGAGTACTCTTGAGCGTTAATGTGTGTGTATGTGTGCGTGTGCGTGTGTGTGTGTGTGTGTGTGTGTGTGTGTATGTTTATGAGAGAGAGAGAGAGAGAGAGAGAGAGAGAGAGAGAAAGAGATAGAAAGAGAGAGATCACATTTGTATGCGCATGTGTTTGTCCGTGAGTGTCTGTTTGTGAATTGGGGTGGGGTGG